GCATTTGCCGTTATTTTGTGTCTTCTGCTCACTCGTTGTCATAATATTTATCTACGATTTTATTTGAAAATGTGTGCCAAGAGTAAAGGCAATATTACATAACTTTTTCTTTTCTTTTTTTTCATTCAATCGAAAATAATAAGGATACTTGCTCCCTAGTGGTTGAAGGAAGTTGTAATACCAGAGCCACGTGTTGCGAATTAAAAATTTAATTATCTTGGCGCGATTGTAAAATTCATATAACCTGTGGAGTAACCAACCGTAAGGGGCATTAACGATAGGTATGTTTATATATATCTTCTTCTCTCGAGAAAAGTTACGTGATCTTAATGTTAATATTCAGACGCCGCTCTGTCGCTCTGATTGTTATGTCAACGAGAGCCAAGTTGTAAGAAATAAGACGTGAGATTGGAAAAATATTTTAAGCGCATTATAAGGTATTAGATTATGGGTCGAAAGGTATTTTCATTATTTTTTTTATTTCTTGTTATATTTATAATTGCGTAAGTATCCGTTTTCCATTTTATATGTTATTTCATTAGACTTTATATTAATCGTTGTATTAATGGTGGTTTTCATTATTACACAGCCAGCTGCAAACAATATTTTCTTAAGTTTTGCCAATTAATTTCTATAACAAATTTTATAGTACAATGCTACTATCGTAAAAATAATATACAACATAAACGATCACTTTTTATCTTCGTAGCTGAAGGGCACAATCCAATCCTGCATTCTTAAGGAATTATACAATACTTTTTCGATTCTTATTTTCTACGCAATTCTACGTTAGAGAAATGAGTTTCTCAAGATTATTTTCTCGAGATATTTACAAAACCTTATGTTACAATGCATAGATACGAGTTTAATAAACAAAAACAAAAACAAAAACAAAAATGGTTTACTCGTGGCGTAAAATGTTCATCCAAAAAAAAAAAAAAAAAGATGACAGCATTTCTTCGTCCATTGAATTTTTCAGTACCAGAATTAATTTTAAGAAATTTTAAGAATTTTACAGTAACAGGCAGCAGCCATTCCCGCAGACATAATTTCCTCCCAAAAGTATTTCTTTCGCAGTTGGCGAAGTAGCGCTGGCTTACGTCAACAATAGCTTACGTGACAAGATATTGAAAATGTTACGGCTCGGACCTCTGATAAGAATCGAAAAATTTAAGGGGAAAAGCGACAGTTGGGTATGCCCAATTTTCAGCTGCAATATTATTTGCGTCGAGCTCACGAGACACCGTCGATAATTCAGGACAACGAATATAAGATACGACTGTAGGAGCGACGAATTTCCTTGGAGAGGGTCAAGAAAGAAGAACCTTAGCCGACGACCGAGGGTCATTCGATCGAGCAGCCTCGCGGACGAGACCGAGAGACAATTTCGCGTTTCCGACTCCCTTTTCCGAGGAGAAGCTCCCCGTAGAGCGCAGGTTGGCTTATCCTCAAGCCAGTTCCGCAAGTGCTCGGAAAGCAGGTGCTGCTCGTGTGGATATGCGTGGGTGTGGCCGGGACGAAAGTGCCTGCAATCTCATGGAGCAAGAGTGTCGACGGCGGCGTTGTCGCCGCCGCCGTCGAAGGAGGAGGAGGAGGAGTATATCAACTGATCTTAAGCGGCCATATCGCAACACTCGCTTGTTTTCAGGTGTGAGAGTGCGCGTACCTTTATTGCGTTACCTGCCAGCAATTTATCACTTTGCGCCCTGCTGACCTGCGTACCTTGAGCTGCGACATAGCGCATGGAACCTAGGATTTTCGGAATGTGAGAGCGCCGAAGGAGGACGAGAGGGCACCGATGCTCTTTTCCCGAAGCCACATAAATATTACAATGCAATATAGTGCGAGAGTAATAAATGCTTTGTATCATCTATAATACCGCTCGCTAATCGCTGCACCGAAGATTTAAATATCGGAAAATGACTATAAGACGACTAGCAAGCAGTATTACCAACTAATCGCACAAACAGTAATCTGGGCTGTACGACCTATAACGCTAATGTTTCTCGAGATGGTTTCATTTAAAACTAGAGAGCAAAATATCAAAAAAGAGTCGAACTTTTCATAAGTAGTATTTACATTATTCTCTGGAATTCACCTTATTCTAACCAGATGTTTAATAGATGCCTATATAATAGGGGTTTATCATAAGGTTATGAATATTTATTGAGGTCGTAATAAATAATTGTGTATATATTTCCAACGCAGTGTTCATTAATATTTGTATTGATTACGTATCTTCTTATACGTCGTTTTTTAACTTATCGATGTAGTTATTTTCATTCCAAATAAGAATGTGTTAATATATAATGTTAATCTTACTTCGAGGCACGTACATTATTTTTATTTTTATATATGTCAATATATTTATATATATATATAGTAAAAACATTAATCCAAAATTTAGACACAATATAATGGAAGCAAATGACATTATTCCAAAAGAATTTACTCGACTAATCTACTTTTAGCTAATACTGAGGAATTAAAATATTATTAAAATATAAATATAGTTTAAGATCTTAAATTAATTTAATGAAATAAAATATATTTATATATTAAATAACTGTTTCGTGCATTTATGCTTGTTGCTCCTCTCTTAAAATATTTACTTTGAAAGGTCTAAATATAATTTATTCCACTATACAGAAAGATGGTAATTTGCAATTTAATATAATAATTCATAAATATAGAATCCGATATATCGCCTTCGTTTATTTTCCGATTCATAAATATTAATTGAATTCAAACATCAAGTTTCAACATTATTTTTCATGTACTCAAGATATATAATTCTGATAATTCTTATATGTTCTTCTTTTCTCGTAAATTAATATGAATTTTATGTATATACATATTACATATTTCATATATTATTTAAGTAGTGTGTTTAGAGATAGTATTTCTTAAAAAATTTCCGTTTCGTTAAAATTGAGCAGAATTTTGTATATAAGATGCAAAAACACATGGGAAAGTTATAATTATATGCATTGTACGAAAATTTTGTAAATAAATATTTCTAATCTACCGCTTCCGATATTTCATCGAATATATAATTTATAAATATATAATTAATTATATGACTGATTTTATTACATATATAAAAATAATTTATCAAATCTTCAATAAATATTAATTACGAATTTTTATCAAATGTTGAGACATGTAATTATTTAAACAAAAAATAAAAGATTTATAATCAAAGAAATTGGAGGTTGAATTTAAGTTTTTATTTACATAACAAACCATTTCTGAAGCTACAAATGAATAATAGCTTATATATTCTTATTATATATATATTTTGTTTGTTTTGTTCTGTTTAAGTAGACTTAATCTTACACAGTTTAATAATAATATAAATAGTATATAATTAAAAAAAAAATTAAAAGAAATATCTATTTTGGCACATTTTTGTGCATTTTTTTTTATGTTTTTTTTTTTTTATTACTTCAATAACAGAATATTTAAGAAAATATGTAGAATTAAAGTTTTTATTAACATTGCTTTGAAATTAAAACGTACCAGAATAAGAACTTTTTGTAAAGCGTGTAGCAATTAAAAATATTAAAAGAATTATATTTTCCTCGGGTAAGGATGTTAAAAGAATTTAATTGGAACAATCTGATTCAAGTTGAGTTAAGTTACTCATATATGAGGATAATGAGAGTGTCTATGAATAATAAGTAGATATGCTTTTACTGTTATTGTGCATACTTGCATTGTCAATGTCGAGTAATAGAGTTTCGAGGAGCAGAGGTGAAAAATCTCTTCTGAAAATCTATTTAAGATAAATATAGTCTTTTCATGCTTAGCCGTGTGAGGACAGGCAATGGTTGTGCAATCGTTGTGCCTTTGAACATGTATAGAAAAATTAAAATATATTAGAATATTTATGCAAAAAGAAACATGGTACGTTAAAATACAAAATGATATTTTATTGTTTATATTGCTTATTTACTCTACTGTACGTAAAAATAATTTTATAATAAATTATTTTAATTTATTATATCAACTATGCATGGGATATAGACTTTATTAGTTATTTAAAGTACAGGTATTATTATGTTATTGTAATATTGTGTCAATAATGTGTCAATATTAATAATGTGTAGGCATTGCATAAAAATGAAAATTAGTTTAACATTTTATCCGTCTATTATTTTGTATTAATAAAAAAAAAAAAATAAAAAATAAAAAAAAAATGATAATGTAATGAAATTTATAAACATTAAACGACAAATAATATCATAGAATATAATTGCTATTTTTAAGCCTAAACAAGTGATAATAAATAATTAATGCTATTGTTCTTTTGGAACTTTACATTTGATTAGCCTTCACACGTACTCGATAAAAATAAATGTTTAACTATAATTGAAAGAATTATTTTTAAAATATTTAAAAGAATTTTTGTTTAAGCTGTTTAGTGATTTCTGATTAATTTGTATTCTATATGTCATATTCCTTCTTATACTATTACATAAAATAAGAGTTTTTATTTACTACTTAAAATATAAAAGATAAAATTTTGCGATAACAATTTTTTTAATATGTGTGTGTGTGTGTGTAATTTATGATGATTAAAAAAATATCCTATAATTTTGTGATCCTATAATTCATGTGATTGGAAAAAGTGCCAAAGAAAATAGATGGTCATGTAAATAATAAATAATTATTTATAAATGTATGCACGGATGATTAGTTGTAAGCAACATTCAATAAAGATTTGTATTTGTAATGTTAATAAGAATTCGCTGTTGAGTATTATTGAAAAATATGTAGATTTGATCGTTTGTTTTTTCATTTTATTTTGCTTTTTTGTTTATATCCTAAATGCTAACATTAATCGAAAAAAAATTTTAACCAAAAATTTGCATCTCTCTCTCCCTAAATTACGATTGCAACAGTCGATAAAACATTTACGAGCAAGTAATCCATCGCTTGAACGAATCAAATATGTAAATATTGAATGTCCGGGCTCTTTCAAGCGGTTAGGAAGCAGCTTCTTACTTATAAACAAAAGAACGGAAGGTATTGGTAAATTTGTGCCTAAACACAATGCTCGCCCGAGTAACCTCAACGATTTATGTCCACACAAATCTCTGACGCGAGTGGAGGCGCTCGGACAACGGCTTTTGGTATGAAAATGTGTGCGCATACGCGCGTAGTAAGGACCATCAATGAGAACTTGAATCGAAGAATGCGCCATCGGGGTTCCTGTTAAAGCGAAACACATCAATGTACTCGCAAGAAGACTTGACCGCTGATCAAATCGCTTTAGTGATCGAGACACTCAGCAAGAAGGTTACGCTATTGCAGGAGGAGATACGTATCCTGAGGCATTCCGAGACGACCGATGTTCGCCGCAGGAATATCTCTTCGAAAAAGCTCTGGTACGCTTAATTCGTGATCTGATTATGGATCATCCTCTTTGCTACGACCCCCCCTCTCCCTCTCTCTCTCTCTCTCTCTCTCTCTCTCTGTCTCTCACATTGTTCTGTCCATAAGCAGACGAAGTATTAACGCGGGAGCGAACCAAGCTATGTAAATGCTTTGGGATCTTCCTTTTAATTTAGAAAAATATTTAATTTATTTGTGGATAGTTTAATAATCACAGCTAATAAGCAAAAAGAGCAGAGATAGTGCAAGTAGAGCTTACTTCAAAGGCATTCGTTCGCCTTGATTCTGCTTACATCATCGACATATTAATAAGTCGCATATAGTAACGATCTTAATTACGTTTGCATAATTAAAAAAGTCTCCCATTAAACATCAATTATAAATATTTAAAAAAAAAAAAAAAAAAAGAAAAAACACTTTGAATTACTTAATTGACAAATTGATGGATGCAAAAACTGCATAAATTGTGCCTCCCTGGATATCAAGTGAGTCGTTAAATTGTTATTAATCAATTCTACGATACTCGGTCTATTATAAATAAATATACATTTCAGTTCCATTATATTTAATTTTTTTGTATTAGTCTTTTCTAGTTGGCGTGTTAAAATAAAAAGCATACGTTTCGATGACAAAAAGTCCTCGTTCCAGGCATTTACTAGCATTAAATATCTGATATTATATTAAAATACAGTTTTTAAGATATTTTCTATGCCATGTTCTAGAATTTCGCTCTTGCAAAAGCTTTAATTTTAATTTTAACTTACAAAGTCAATTTATCTTGCGATAGCGTTGGACGAGAGATAATGCAAATCACCATTTTTAGGTCAATACCCAACGAGAATGAGAGGAGACGAGCGAAGTTTGCAAATTATTTTTCGAACGATTCCTACGGATTGAATGTTACGGCTTCCGAAGGTCGCGAGAGGAATAATCGGGTAGTATCAAACTCCAAGGGATTCACGATGTGCCAGGAGAGGGTAATGATGTCGTCGAAGCAACGAAAGTATGAATTAAAACACGAAGAGGTCCAAGTAAAAAAAGTACACCACAATGCCAAGGACAATACGAACACTGTCGACGACCAACTCCGCAAGCAAAAAAAGGAACATCGTGCCATGTGCTCAACAACGTTTCTTAAGTATTTATCATATCTGACGAATGTTGCTATTCAATGTCAATGCATAAAAATTTAATAATTTAATAAAATTAAAATTTGTTCAAACAACTGCTCTAACGATGTAAACTTCACATTAGTGTAGAAAATAATTTGAAAAATCAAGTTCAACGGAAAAGGATCTCGCGAGGTGTTCAGTATGAAAATCCATTTTGTATAACGAATTATCAAATTATTTTAAGTTCCTCTACACTCAACAATGCTAAAAGCACCCAAGAATCGGATATGACAAGAGTCGAGTCTACTAAACGCGACAATCATACTCAAATTCCAAATAAACCAATGTAAGTTCCTTTTAACACGGATATTTTTAAATTATTTTTTAAAATAATGCAAATTTAAAAGATTATTTGATTAAGATAGGTAAATGAACGACTATTGATTTAGAAATTAACAAATTCAATATTTTCAATATTAGTTTGTATTATTAATGTATTTCTGAATTTTGTCATTGTATATAACGTATCTTTGTACTGAAAAAATATATTCCACGATTAATTACGCTTACAAATCTAGACAGAATAATTAAAAATGTTACATTTCATTGAGTATTTTTAACGTAAATAAAAAGTAGACATAAAATATTATAGAACAAAATATACATTAATTACAATGCAATTCAATTGACATTGCAATTTACAAGATAACAAGATACCTACAAATTATTAGGTCATTGCTAATAAAATGCTTGTTTGCAAAATTTAAATAAGTCATACGTGTAAAAAAAATTAGTATGAATGCATTAATTTCATGTAAAATAAAATCATCGAGAGTGTCGAGTAACTGGAAAAACGAGAAACTGCGCATTATTCAAGTGATTAATCATTGCATTCATTTTCTTATGAAATATCTTTTATACGACATATTAATATTTAAATAATAATATAGCAGAATTCTACGATTTGAGGCAGGAAGTTCTTTTTCTATGTTTTTTTTTTTTTTTAACAATTATAATGGCATAATTAACGATTAATTTAATTGTCTAATTTCATCTATTTTTATGCAAAGTGCAAAGTCGCAAGTGGCAAAGTGGTAGCGATATTTTTCCAACGTCTTCTTATTTTCATTCAATTAGAAATTTTCTTATAAATTATATTGTTAAATATAATGAAATAAAGCTTTTATATTAAAGTACCGAGAAGTAATATTCCGTAAAATGTAAATGATTGGTTGACATTATATTGTAAAGAGTAGAAAACGTTTTAATTTAATTTACAAGCTTTGCTGAGGAAAATAGTATAAAAAACGTACAACGTCATTATGTCTTTGTAAGAATGTATTTATGCAAAAAATTCGTTAAAATATTAGTAAATAAAACAAATATATGATACATATTAATGTTGACTTAAGAAATGCGACATTGAAATGAAAAATTTTCGCTATCTTCATTTTATAAGAATATTTCATTGATTAAAAAAGATATATGACCAGAGTATTATTTTTTTAATTAAGTATGTTAATCAAATAAAATATATTTTATAAATTCATTACTCGTTACTGAAAACGAACATCTACACGAGTGTTATAAGTTGTCCCATACTAATGTACTTTTGTATTACATTAAGTAATATTAAGTATTTAAAAATTAATATTATAAAATATTAGATTCTGACCTGAAGGAAATTATAGTTTTTCTGTAACCATAATAATTTTGACTACATTTAGAGCAAAAAGGTAAATAATAGGGTTATATATATATATATATATATTTAAAACATATGCTATCGTTTAATGACAATTTCCATTTTTCTTACAAATGCGCATCTTTATATAAACCAGAGATAAGAATAATCCCTTTACGCTGAATCTCTTAAAATCCTTAATGTACGAAATTCATTTGGTTAATTCTCTTTACCTATTCTCTATAATTTGCAATTATAACAGGATTGTTGCGTCCCTTATTCGTAATTCATGTCATTGGCAGGCGAATTAAAAAGAAAGTAAATGAAATATGCGATTATGCGACTATTAAAAGAATATTTCGATAGAAGTAGCACAAAATTTCCTACACTTAGAGCGATAATCAATATTTAGACAGATTAAAACCTGTATTAATATTTCATTCGTCCTTGGCTACAATAGTTTTCAAGCAATTGGTTGCTAGCACATCCCGCTCCAATTATTGATTGGCGCTATCAATTAACGTTGAAAAATTAACTAGTGCTATGGTGACACATCACTCCAATAAATAATGAGCAAAATAAAGAAAACATTCTTTGGTATATTTGTGTACTTATGTAACAACGTTCGTGCAGGACAGCATCCATAATAGGAACGGCGACAGTACCGGTGAGAAGTAAAGTCACCTTTAAGCTTCAAGATCCAAAGGACAATGGTTACGAACATAACGATACGAAATTACAAATGATGAGCGTTATGATAAATAACGAGGATAATAGCGAGTCAGGTAAGAATTGTACGTTTGCTTGATGAATTTAGAAATTGTCTATCGATTTTAGGCCACGTCCCTTGCCAGTGACGGAATATGCTTACTAAAACGAGTGACAATAAGTGCCTATAGGACACTTCTTCATTTTTTGAAAAGTTGCTATGTAGAGTCCAAGCGTGCAAAATTTCATATTAGATAATTAGTTTTTAAATAATTATCAGAGAAGTTTGTGAATGCAATATTTAAATATTTTATTGATTGATTTTTTTTTTTTTTTTTTTTTTTTTTTTGAGGAAGTACGAAGCTTTTTATAACTTGTGTAAAAAAACTGTAATGTATACTTTTATCTTCTTTGTGCAGAATAATGTATTAAAATATTTTTCATGGATGAAAAATGAAAAAAATATTATTATTAGTTAAAGTTATTTGATGGGAATTATTGGTTTACAGGCTTTTTAAATATTTATAAATAAATTTTTGTAAATAACTTTTAAATAATATCTTTCGGATTAATGAGACAAAATGTTGACTAAAAATTGTATTATTTTAGATAATATCGAGGCGAGAAAGAATAATGCCGATGTGAGCAATTACGAAAAGAGATCGAAAATTCCTATTCATAAAAATTCATTGCTCGAAGCATCAGAATACAATAAAGAAATAAGAAAAAATAACAAATATATTAAGTCTCGAAATATTATCGTTCAAACGGACAATTTTCCAAATTTCAAAGAGTTCAAGGTGGAGCAAATAGAATTACTTACAGACACCATTGAAGACAACAATAATAGCAAAAATCGAAAAATTACACATTTAAAAACAGAAAAATCGGAAATAAATAATCAAATAAATACGGCCGCTAAGCAAAATATTGATAATTATATTGATAACAATAACAAAAAATTAGTAACAGAGAATGCATTAAATAGAAATATTACTACTAATAATAATAATACTACTACTACTAGTAATAATAATAATAATAATAATAATAAAAATAATAATAATATTATTAATAATAATAATAATAATAAATCTAATAATGCGCAAAATAATTCGATAAAACAAAAATTTGGTGTATTTTTTCGAAAAGCTACCTTACTATTTTGAAACGAAAAATTGTAAGTCCATAATTTGTAAAATTTAGAAAATGAAAATATTTTATTAATAAAGTAATTTATTGTAATTTTTTTTTCTTCTCGTCTTCTAATTTTCTATCATTAAAACACTTATTTATTGAACATTTATATTGTATAAAAATAATGGAGAAAGAATGTTGTGCTTATAATTATACAGTCTTTAAAATATATATCAATATGTGATTATTTATTCAAGTTTAAGTGGTTTTATATTATAATGAGCATCCTAGAATTGTAGAGAAAATTCGATATATAATTAAAATTTTTACTTTGAATTTTTCACTTAAAAAAGCAATAATAAGGATCACAAGTACTTAATCTGCTTTGAAACGAAAGATTAAAATTATCATCGATTAATGTCATTTGACACTTCTTGAGATATATGTAAAATTACTTGATTTTCATTTTATTTTTTTTTATTTTTTTTAACGGCACCTATTTATTATGTAATATATCATTTATTTAATACGATTCCTCACTCTTAGTATATGCTGTGATCAATTGGTGCTCGCATAAGACACAAATTCACACACACGCACGCGCACGCACGCACGCACGCACGCACGCACGCACGCACGCACACACGCACACACACATATCCACACACATCCGCACACATCCGCACACATCCGCACACATCCACATATATACGCGTGCGCGCGACCCAGCTTGTGTAAATAAATGAATATTAAAAGTCGTCGATTATTAAAAAGATAATAGATTTTATTTCAAACTAGATAAAACAAAGTAGTTTAACTATTAGAATTATTTGTGTGCTTAAATATTTACATTTTACAATGTAATCGTTGAATAATAAGCTTTTCCGAAACTCCTACTTGATCTTATATATAAAAAATCTCTTTAATTATCGTGTTCAAAGCATATTACTTATTATAATTTTATAAATATTATCAATAAGTATTATCATTATATTAGTAAAGAAATACTAAGATAAATCATAGTAATTATATTTGCGGTAATTAATATAATGTCTCTAAATTTCCAAGAATTTCGAAGATTTTACACTGGAGCCGCCACTTGTCAGTTTGGTTCATTGGCCGACATTTGAAGAAATTATTGTTTGGTTTGATTTAATCTTGCTGGCATTACTTGTCAGAATATTATTTGTGTGAGGTAGTTGTTCTTCAATCAAGCTGCCGGCCTACTCGGAAAAATGTTTAATGACGAATTAAGATACTCCGAAAATGATAATTTTTTGGAAACTAATGTTGAATTCCATAAATCAACAAGTAATATTAATTAACATAGTAACATTCGATATCAATTTTGACAATGTAACCTCATTTGTTTGTCTACTTTGATAGATAAGCCATTAATATATAGTATGAAGCTAACGAAAGGAATACAATTTTCAGACTCTTTAATTTGTTCACTTTTTAAAGAGGTCTTTCTTCCACAGGGCTTCCCAGAAAGTGTTCACACAGATTATATAGAGTATCAAATTTGGGATTCGTTACAGGTTTATTCTTTATTTCATTATTATTACAAAAAAATGCCTTGCAAATCTAAATTTATGGGATACCGTGGGACATAAAATTAATACTGTACAAGTTGTTTTAAGGCTTTTGCAAGTACTATTAACGGTACCTTAGCCACGCATTCTATCATGCGAGGCGTCGGAGTCGGAGAATCGACGGCAACTCCCTTAGTAGCTGCTATAACGTGGATATTAAAAGACGGAACCGGCATGATTGGAAGAATCATATTCGCATGGTGGCAAGGGTACGACCATTTCATAGAAAGAAATAAGCTTCGTTTGTTATTTGAGTTTTGTTCTGATTACAAATTTCTTCTATTCTGGAATCAGCAATTTTCAGATAAAATAATTACCATAATTTATTATTAACGAAGTATATATTAATTTAGACACAATTTGGATAGTCATTGTAAGAGATGGAGGCTATTTGCGGATATTTTAAACGATGCTGCAATGGTGATTGAAATAACAGTGCCATATACACATACATTTTCTTCGTACATTTTGTGCCTTACAACTGGAATGAAAGCCATTGTTGGTATCGCGGGTGGAGCAACGAGAACAGCCATAATGCAACATCATGTTTGTATTATTAATTTATTTATCGTTTTAGTAATAAGCAAAATACAAAATTTACAGATACCTTAATAAATATTAAAAATTAATGAATACAAATATTAATATTAAACTCTAAACATTTAATGTTGATTATATTTAAAATAGTATATTATAATTATTATTATAAATTTCTAATCAAATTTCACTTTTCAGGCCATTAATGATAATATGGCTGATGTTTCTGCTAAAGAACACAGTCAAGGAACACTTGTAAATTTAGTTGGTTCCATTGTTGGAATTATGATATTGTTGATAGTGCACGAAAGGTAAGTCGTGGCCTAATTTAATTGAAATAATAAATTTTAAATACTTTAATAATAAATATTAAATTATCCCCTTTTGACATACAGCTTATTTATTTATATATGCATTGGGCTAGTCATAGTTCATATTACATGTAATTATTATGCTGTAACTTCATTGAAAATAAATACATTAAATGATGATCGCTTGTGTTTACTGATAGAGAGTTATTTCCTTAATCAGAATATTCCAAGTGTGGAACGCGTGAACGAAGAAGAATCTATCCTTGTTCTATTTAAAAAACCAGGTTAATTACGAAAGGTTATTAATATTTAATAATTAAGACATTGTGTATGGATGATATATACGTAATTAATCATTTTAGCGCAAGAAATTTTTGGATTTAACATTGAAATTGGTGTATCTTTTAAAAAAATGTTAGAAATGAAATTGATAGATTTGACGGCTCTTAAACATTTCCAAGCACTTTTTCAACTTAGAAAATACTTACCTATAATAGGTATGCGACAAAGAACAATTTATATAGTACTATCAAAAGATTCTTGTGATGATGATATATTAAGAGCATACTTTCATTCCTCTTTGTACGCAATGATTCTGAGCAGAATGTATGGAATCTATACAGTATATATTTATTTTTTTGAAACTTTACTATATAATTATATATATATATATATATATATATATATATATATATATATGTATGTATGTGTGTGTGTGTGTTATACATTTTAGTAATTTAAATTAAATATTTGTTTTAGAGAGCACTTCATAGAAAGACTAATCATAATGTATCACATTCAATGATCCAACTATTGACAATGAATTCTGAATGTCTTAATGAGTATATCATTTTAAGCAAAACATGTCCATATATATGGGGCAAGGCTCTACTCGTGTTAGATAAAATGGTTCTTTCTGAATGTAATTTATTTCTTAAATTGTTAAAAAAGAGTGGTAAGACTTACATTTCCTTAAAGCTTAAACAATACAATGGAAACAATTTGATTAAAAAGTATATTTTATTGTAGATTGGAAATTAAAGACGAATGTATTACCTATAAAGCCTTGGAAAGGCTCATGGATGTAAAATTCTTAACAATGTCAAGCTTAATTATTATTATTAATATAAAATTGTGTTAATTAATATAAAACTTGACATTAATTTTATTAGCGATTGTTTATTAAACGATCAATTATAGCATGACATTTTTGTACAATTGACATTATCATTATTATTAGTAATATTTATAAAATAAATATCAACAAATTGTATAATAAATTTAGTTTTTATAAAAATAAATAATTCTATTTTATCACTTGTAATATTGTAACTTGTTTGTGTTTTTTTTTTTTACTACTTTTATAATAATAAATTTTTATGAAAAATTCGATAGATTAGTCATTGCATAAAAATTATTATTCTCGCAAATGATATAAAATGTTCGTTTTTATGCTAGTAAAAAGTTTATTTTGTTGTGTTCATATTTGTACAATTTATTTGCAGTTATTGCTGTTTTTAAAATAATTTCGAAAATAGACATTATAATAGCTTTATGAAAAAAATGCAAAATTTATTTCTATTAAGTACAGTCGTGCACATATATTTTTTGTCCAAGATAAATTAAAATCTTTATTAAAGCTATTATCAAATACGACATTATATTCCAATAAGTTTCAGAATAACTATTTTTTAAATTTGCACACGTAAACGTTAATTACACGTTTACTTGATAATTGAATTAATTAATTAAATCGTTGCATTTATATGTACTAATTATCCATACCATTTAATTAGTATATTTAATATATGTCAAAGTCATAATTATATCGTACATTTATATTTGTAATATTTTTTTCCTTACTTTTCTAATACACATTAGAATATGATTACAGTTACGTTATTTTTTTTATATTTTATTAGAATGAAATTAGAAAGAAATAAATTACCCATGATTTCTGACCCGACATTTATAATATTTTAGTTCAACGAATTATTAGAAAATATTTTCTATATTTATGAGCTTCTCTTATCTTATAAGGGATAAAACTTGACATTATTTTTAGTAATGTGTTTTATTTAAATAGTTTTAAAAGAAATTTTTATAGTATTAAAAAACATTGTATGATGATAAGAAAATTGTACTAATTTAATGTAATCCAGTTTACAATATTTTCACCGTCTGTAAAATTAATTTCATTAAAGAATAAAAGTTGCGATAACGATTGCAATTATCTTGAAATATTTAAAAATACGAATTTCCCTATATTGTGACAAAATATTAAGGGAACATCATTAATTATTACACGCATTTACTGTGTTGAATAATAATATATATTTGTAACTGGAATGTGTCCTTTTAAATCTATTTAAATATTTACCCTCGTTCTCAAAAGTATTAAAAATATAAAAATGTTTCTGTATGTCAGTTCACTAGTTAGAAAAGTTTCATAAATACCGTTAAAATTATTAGTAATGCAATATTTTATTTAAAAGTTATGCATTGTCATGTAATCTTATCTAAAAATGTTCTCGTAAGGTATATGTATTAAAAAAACTACGTTAATCCATTAATATTAATGTTATTATAAAATCATACTATTAAATATTTAAGTATTCATTAGGAATTTTAGCTGGTTTTCTTGAATGATTGTAGAAAAAAATTATGCAAATACGATATATTAAAAAAAAGAAAATAAACCAAGTATTTACTTATTACTTCTATGATTTTTAAGAAGCGATGTTGCTTGTAATGGAAATAAATTTTAGTTAAAACATTAATTTATTATAATATATTTGTATGTAAATTAATAGCTTAGAAAGGGTAGATTTTAAAATTCATTTTTATAATTTGCTTATTTTTCTTTTTCAAAAACTTATTGCACTTTTATTCGTAAAATTTTTTACGATACTACATTGTAATATTTCAATAATAAATTTAACATTTTACAGCACTATTTCGATGATTATAGTGCAATCACAATGTCTTGAATTTTTGTAAAATTATATTAAAATTTGTTACGATTTCATTACGTTTTTAAATATAATTGTAATTGTGCATAAAATATAGTGCACATAGTATCGTTCTAGATAAATGTAGTAAGTAAATTTAATTAATAAATGCCTATGATAAATTTAAAATAAATCTGTATTTCCAATATTACATAATTTTGTTATTGAGTTAATTAGTTGTTGTCACTGTGCACGAAGCTCTTCATTATATTCATTATATGTAAATATTAATATCCATACATTTTCATTTATCAATACTTGTATCTTATTTGGCTGTAAATATTGTTTATTATTTTTCATTAAGAACTATTTTACTATAAATTTTTTTTTCTAATAATCTATAATTTCATGACAGTTATTATTATGTATCATAAATATAATAAGTCTACAAGTAATATCAATAAATTCATTATTATTACTAAACGACAATTTTTGCTTATCACCTACTTTTATAAGATTGGACAAATAGCAGACGAATTCATTTGCTAGTAGTACGGCCATTTAGACTATAAAGTTGGTAGAGGGAATAATGATTTGTATTTCAGATTTTCACATTCCGAACGATATGCTTGATAAGAATGGCTCATCTTATTATTCTCTTGTAACGATTTAAAAATAAATGCAAAAATATTATTGCATGCATATATATATATATATATATATATATATATATATATATACAAATACGCGCGCATACTTGCACGCGCGTTCACACACGTGGGTACGTATTTGTGTATGCGCGAGCATGCGGGAACATATGTACAGTCTGCATAGAGAAAGACAAAATGTTTCATCTATCGAATTATAAATTTTATGCCATTTATTTAAAAAAATATTTGGTTATTCCAAGTTAAATGTAAAGTTATAATTCTATATCTGTTTAAAATATAAATTTCATACTATTGTAGTTTGGGTTTATATATTTATTTATACAATTTTATAAACAGAAATAGAAAAACAATATGTCCCTAATATTTACACCTACTAACCAAATAAGGTTAACAAATGTTGCTGTTGTGCGAATGAAAAAATCAGGCAAGAGATTTGAAATTGCTTGTTATAGGAATAAAGTTGTTTCTTGGCGAAATAAGCTGTAAGTAATTTTTTTAAATTTCCTCATTGATCATTTATAAGTCTACTATTAGAATTTAAATAAATAAAAAAAAAAATAAATAATATATATATATATATATATATATATATATATATTAAACTATCTTTTAGAGAAAAGGATATCGATGAAGTATTACAAACGCACACTGTTTTCATAAATGTATCAAAAGGACAAGTTGCTAAAAAAGAAGATCTTATTAAAGCATTTGGAAAAGATGATCAAACAGAAATTTGTAAAGAGATTTTAGCTAAAGGTGAACTGCAAGTTTCGGATAAAGAAAGACATTCAGCTTTAGATGCTATGTTTAAGGACATTGCCACAACAGTAGCAGATAAATGCGTTAATCCAGACAGTAAACGCCCTTATTCTGTATCACTAGTAGAAAAAGCTATGAAAGACATTCATTTCTCAGTGAAACCGAATCGTAATACAAAACAACAGGCGTTAGATGTTATTCCACAATTAAAAGCCATTATGCCATTAGAAAGAGCTCAGATGAGATTAAAAATTGCAATTTCTGGAAAAGAAGCTCGAAAACTAAGGGAAAAAATGGTAAAATTAATATCAAAAATTGAATCTGAAGATTGGTATGGTGGAGAGTTAACTTTGATTTGCTTGATCGATCCAGGTAATTATCGTACAATTGACGAGATGGTTAGGACTGAAACAAAAGGATCTGGTATCTTAGAATTGTTAAATTTGAAAGAAATTATTGAGGGTGAAGAAATTTTAGAATAGTATTTATCAGATTTTCCATGATCGTTGTATTAACTTTATAATGTTTCTACATATTAGTAACTGAAATATTTTCAATTTAAAAAATTTAATACAAATTTTCATTTGGCTATCAATTTACTATATTTTCTTAAATAATATTTACATTTGCATAACATTGTTCACGCATATACCATATATTTATTAATTTGTAATATTATGATATAAATAAATATTGTGTACATATTATATATAAAGTGTAAAATAATATGGTTCTTTGGAATTGCTATATACAGTCTAATTTTTCACAGTATTAAGATAATCTGTAAAAAGGTAAAGATTAATTTATATCCTAATTTTAATACTTTATTTTTCACCATTACATTAATTGGTGATTATTTATATTAATTTGTAAAAAAACATATATAAATCATTTACGTATAATTAATTTTAAGAATATCGATATACTTGTTCTATTCGTGTTTTGAGACTTCTCCTCGAGGTATATAAATGTTTTCTGAACGGTTGTCGCATTTAGCAGCCATACGAGATGTCGTTAAAAGAAAATCAGTAAGACGTTTTAAATATATTTGTGCTTCCTTATCTAACAATCCATTATTTATCAATGGTATGACACTATCTTCTACTTTTTTACATATTGTTCTTGCGATATGCAGGGATGCACACGCTTTACCACCACCCTATAGTAAAATATATAACTAATTAGTAAAGATTCTTGCGTCGATACTAGGCTCCTTTTGTTAATTCAAAGTTGAAATAATTAATGTAAAAAATGGATAAAATTTTTAAATAACGAATGAAAAGTGCTTTATACTCAAATATAATTACAATAAGAAACTAAATGATAAACTTTTTGGAACGAACAGAAATTAATTTATATAATTATACAAACATTTATAAAAACTTTCTGACTTTAAAATGTATATAAATACGATATTTACTGGTATAATGTAATCTTCATGAGGAGGCAGTTGTTTTGAATATTCCATAATCCATTCATCGAGATCTTGGGTATGTCGATTTTCAAATAGATTCGTTTTTCCCGGTACAGCTTTTTTAATAGTGTAATGTAAATCAAGGAGAATCATTTGAATTCTCCTTAATTTTTCTATGTATGGATGTACTTCCTTGCTGTCAGTTGCAAATTCTCTAGCTAATCCTATATAAGACGATAGTTCTTCCGTAGCTCCTAAAGCAATCTCAACTTTTTTATTTTTCAGTTTAGATTCTACATTTAATGATTCGGATGTTGTGTCAGAATTTATGTTAGACGGATTAATCAAACTGTGATGAATTAAAAAGGAAAAGAAAATTATTATTATATAAAATCCTTTCGAATACATTTCAGAGAGTGTAATAATTTTAAATCAAAATCTAAAGTCCTCTATTCGTAATATTCATGCAACATAGCTTATTTCAAATTTATAATAAGGTTAAGTGTAAACACGTGTTCGAAATAAACTTGCCTGTTTCGTATTGACATTTGCATGTTACTTTTATATGCGAACAATGATCTTCTCCACAAATTTCTTGCCAATTCCATTTCTGAAACAAGGAAGCCCCCATTATTTTTTTTAAGAATGCCTAAGATGTAAATTTATTTACCATTCGTTTGCAAATGCGTAAAATCCTTTGTACAAGTGTTTTGCTTGCAAGCGGAAATAGATTTACAAAAGTATGTATATTTAGCAAGTAGAGGAAGGTATAATCTTGCGGTCGATATATTTTATCGAACATAAATATATTAATATACAGACATAACAAAATTATAACGTATAATCCTCGCCCAATTGTTCACTACTTTTTACTTTATCGATGGAGCACGTTAAATTTTTAGTTATAAATTTACTCGCTCGAGGCCAGTGCATTAATAATTATCATCATGCTGCATTTGCACTTTGACATGTGTCAAACTTTTTCTTAATAAATACAAAAATAAATATTAAAATTATAAAGCGGTGGTTAAACGTATTATAATTAATTGATCGATAAAGAATTTGTTAATAACATTTTAATCTATAAGTATAAATACCATATAGTTTGAATAAAATGATGGTTGTTGCTTCAGCAGATGATTGTAGAATTGTAGGCCAGCGAGATAATGTAACGAAGACTATGTAAAATTCCTCCAAGCACTTTTCACGAGGGGGAAAAAATAAAAAAGCCTACTGCTATGGCTCTAAGCAAATAATATATGTATATGATCGAGCAATAATTATAAAGAAATCTAAAATTTAAAAATATTTCATAAAACGAGCTCAAGGACTAATCAGCTGTTTATCTCGTATATACATTGCATATATATATATATATATACAATACATACAATACATACAAATATAAAGAATGCATAAAAAACCCAATTATTGTTGATTCCGTTAAATATTTCATCAACTTGAGAATTAATCAAAGATTAATAATTGTAAATTTTATTTCATATTTCAACTTCTATTCCATATAGAAAGTGAAAATATAGAGCATTTTTTATCATAAATATCATTCGTTCAATTTTACTTGTAAATTATGCTATTTCTCGTTTTCATTCGATAACTTCAAGTGCAATTATAAATAATTTGCTATAATCATGAAAATATTATTGAAAATCGATAAAAAAAAAATCTTTGCTTGACGCGTACTATTGTTTAATATTTGATTGTAAATCAATATTTAAAAATAAAAATGATCGCCGTTTGAATTTTATTAAGTAAAATTTAACAAGGCTTTTTTTTTCGCGACTACACTGCTCAAAGGATACTATTGAATTTGAATTTACATAGCATACATTCTCCACACGTACGTGCGCATTTATTAACAACGACACTTAATTTCGCGTGCGTATGTGCACGCGCGTATCCAATTAGTATGCAATAACGAAAATGTTAAATTAAAACAATGCATAGATATTCGAGATTTGATCATTTAACGAACGCTTTTGGATGACCAGCCAATTAATTATTCGTAAAATATATACTATATTGTATTATAGAGTATAAAATTTTATTACTCTCAGTGCATATTATATTCGCGAGCCTTAGCCTTTTATTGCGTCTGTTATGCGTTTATTCATTCTATTGCGTCTTAAGCAAACTTTTTGAACGGCGACTTATTGCGCTAATCGCAATGTGGCATTATCTGTCATTTAAGAAATTTTAATTATTTGCGCTCTTGAACCATTAATTTTATGCGTAGTATATAAATAATATTACGAGTGAGAAAGAAGGAAAGGGCGCGACTACGGCCGCGAGATGTCGGTATAAGTCGATTGGCCGCTACCCTACCGACAGTGCTTTCTGTTCCCGATTGTCGACGGGTGTCGTCGCCGTTCGTCGACTGCGTCCCGTCTCCGAGTATCCTGCGCCCGTGTCGTGTGACTCGGGGGAGTCGGGAAGTTAGTCGTCGCTGAGCCGGATTTCGTGCCCTAAGAAAATTCGGGGTGGCAAAGCAGCGGGGCACGTCTATTATGGTCGCTCAAGGAAGCCGTTTAGGGCGCCGAGCATGAGGGCTACGTCACTCGTATCCTGCTAATTCCGCTTGTATCGCCTAAGAGGCGACAGGAGCCCTGCGCGGAGAGCCCCTGCCCCTTTACGTGCACGTGCAAAGACGGGGTCAGGGAAGCCAGCGGGAGCTCGGGGCTCGGGGCTCGGGGCGGCAGATGTGCCCGTGCCCGCGTAGCGGTCGTGCAGTCGTTTCGCCGACGGTGTCGAGCCGCCACCGGTACTCCCTCCCGCAGTCTCCGACTCCCGTCGCCGTCACTATTTCCTCCTCCACCACCTTCTCCTTCTTCTCCTCCTCCTCATCATCCTTCACCGCCACCTCCTCCTCCTCCTCTTTCTATTCGAACTACGTTGGCTTGGGCTTTAGCTTCGCCTTCATCGCCTTCGCCTCCCCCGCTCGTAAGCGAATTGGACAGTGTGCGCGCGCGCCCCCGGACTCGCGTCGCGCGTGCTCCCGTGTTCTTGTTTGCTCGCCCCCGTTGCCGTCGTCGGGATTCGCTGCGACGTGGAGGACGATTATCGAGAGCAAGTAAGGGCCCGATCGGCTAGCTACAGCCGCCCCCGCGCTCCCCCATTTACATGTCCGGCTATCGCAGTTCCTGCCCAAACCTCACTTGTTTTCATGGGATCGGCGATATACTCTGTCGTGCAGCCAGTGCAACTCACGGTGGAATTAACGGCGCTCGCGGCATCGGCAGCGGCAGCGGTAGTGGCAGCGACAGCAACAGCAACAGCAACAGCAACAGCAACAGCAACAGCAACAGCAACAGTAACAGCAACAGCAACAGCATTGGCATTGGCATTGGCATTGGCATTAGCAACAACAACAACAACAGCAATAGCAGCAGCAGTAGTAGCAACACCAGGACGACGAGGACGCGCGTGAGGGCATAGCACGCGCTGTCCCTCGTCGTTGCAGATATGAAGTGAGTAATAATAGCGAGTCATAGTGCCTCTGCTTTCCCTCTTGACTCGTTGCTTTTCAGCCCGGTATTCTTTCGTCGCGGCGTCCTTCTGCCTCCGGGATCGATCTGTGCACTTTCCTAACCTATATCGAGAGGATCGTTGTTCTAAACCCTTGGTTCTTGGGCTTCCTTGCAGACTTTTAAAAATCGAGAAGGCATAGGCGATCCCCTCGCCACGCCGTCTTCAACGAGATCTACATCAAAATGAGAGAAAGAGATATGAAGGCAGAGAGAGAGAGAGAGAGAGAGAGAGAACGAGCGCGCGCGCGTGTGATAGAGAGAGGGAGAGAGAAAGTGAGTGAGTGAGAGAGAGAGAGAGAGAGAGAACGAGTGATGTGAGGATCGTGGGAGGGGGAAATCGGGTGTACAAGAGGCGGCAGCTCGTTTCTCTCTCTCTCTCTCTCTCTCTCTCTCCTTCTTCCCCTGGCTTCTCCGACTTTTTCCTCCGTCTCTTCTGCAGCTGTACAGTCGCGTACCCACTTTTCCTTTCTCTCTCGCTTGCTCTCTCTCACACTGCATTTTCTTTCTGTGCCACTCTCGACCATTGTTCGCGCATACTGTTCCATATGCAGCTTTATTTCCATTATTCTCTTTTTTCTTACATTCATCCTCGGCCAAGGGACAAAAACAATAGGCGCACAATGTAACGATGCACCGCGCGAGGAATGAGTCGAAGCTACGCTTAAGAGGTGATTGGCCGACAGTGCGCGAGCGAGATGAACAAAAGGAAGGAGTTGTCAGAATGTTTCCTCTCGTCCGTCGCGCTCTCTTCCTCACCCCTCAAGGCCCTCGACCCAACCAACCAATCTCTCTTTATTCGCTGTCAAACATCGTCGTGTGCCTCATTCCCCCTCTCCTCTTTCTGGCACTCTCTCACGCACACGCACACGCACACGCGCACGCTCAATCGCAAACGCCATTCCCCTGCCCTTTCCCGACGTTACTCTCTCGCACCTACCTCCCTTTCTCTTTCCCGATTTCTTGGCTGTGAATTCTCGTCTTATGTGTCCAGGCATTTTTTCACCTCTTTATATTCCAAAATTTTCCGACTACATTAGACTATTTGAAAAAAAAGTTCGGTTGCAAATATCACGTGGATCGTAGGCTGAGACAGAGACATAGTGTATCGCATCGAGACTCGTCAAGAGAACAGACAAGAGAAACACGCAAGTTCCCCTTTAGCATACGTACAGTATGTGTACGTTGCGAGCGAATGAGTAAGTGAGCGAATGCGTGCGTGCGTGCATGCGTGCATGGACGAGTGAGTTTAAGAATTGTGAGATACCCCGCCTGCGTGAAATGCCTTATTTCCGACCTCTCCTCCGTTATCCTCTATATGTCGCCTCGTCTCTTTTGCTTATTCCACTACTCTCCGTGACAATCACGCACCTCGTACTTTTTAATCTCTTTCAGTGTCCTCGACTATTTGTGTATTATGAAAAATTGAAGCTCGGGTATTTCGACCTCGTATTCGTACTTCATATATTTTCAATAACTAAGTTTCATGAATTCCCCCTCTTTTTCACAAAGAGAGCTGTAAGCGACGCAAAGAAGATGATTTCTTTTATTATCAAAATCGATAAACTAGGATTGCTTAGTAGTTGTTTAGCTCATATATTTATATGCCATATAAAAAATAGGCATTCGTTGCGAGGAAAATTATGTAATATGCATTTTTTAAATTTTATGAATAAACATACAGTGGAATAAACAAAGAAAATCATGATCATTATATATATATATATATATATATATATATATATATATATATATATATATATAGAAAAATATATCCAACTCGACGTGTATTAATTCATCTGAGTAGTTGTGTACATACAAAATATATCTTATATTTATTGCAATCATCGTAGTTGACAGTTTTTATATTATAAATTTATTTGGTTGATAATAAATAAATAAGCAAAATTAGCAATGGTTTTTAAAAATCTATTTTACTGGAATTTTTAGAAATTAAATAATTCAAAATGCCATTTAATTAAATTCATTGGATCCTTTAAAATCGATGCTTACCACATATTTCAAATGTGTCCGAACATTAAAATGAGAGCATTTTACTTGTTAATTGACAGTTAAATTGTCTTTTAAAGTGGCTAATACATTTAATTTTATCCATATTTTGAGAAATTTGTTTTATCTTTCAGTTATACAAGAGTGCATAAAACCGACAACATTCTAAATCCCTGTCCATGTTGATTAACTAATGTAAATAAAATGATCGACTTATTTATAAAGTGAAAAAATATGACCTCAAACGTCAGTTATTAAGTGTATATTTAATTTCTTAAAAAGGATAACAACGAATGTTCATACAAATTTTTTATTCTTTTGATAATGTCCGCAAAAAACGTGAGCTCTTTCATTATAAAAAGTTTCAATGTAAGGTAATTAGTTAAAGATAATGATATAGTGGGAAGACTAATTTAAAGGAGATAACTACGTGCCGCCCACGCATTTGAACTATTCTAGGAATTTTATATTATTACGCTTGAAAAAAATAATAAACCGTATTAATTCTCGAAAATTAATCCTTTGAAAGTATAATATAGTCATAGCTACAATATAATATTGAAAATTAAGGAAAAAAAAAAGTAGAGAAAATTGTAAAAAAAAAACCAATCACCGTGTCGATGGTGGATTAAGGAAATAAGAAGAGAGAACCAAACCAATAATGACTCCCTTCTTTTGTTATTCTCATCGTCATATCTCTCCTTTACCCTCCTTTTATTTACCAGGCTGAGGCTTTTCCTTTCTCAATGTGCCGTTACGAATACAATGAATTCAAACGCGCGACCCTCGCGGCTAACGTCATTTTATTTAAGGGCCTGCAATTGGATGTCGACCTAATTTTCCCGCATTAATGCCAAGTTATTTAAATGCTCCGATTTGTAATGCGCTCATACAATGTCCGCGAGAGGCAATGAGAGAGGAGTCATTAATTCGTTCTACTTATTACCCCCCCCCACACGCCTC